AAGGTAGTAAAATGAAAAAAAATTCAATTATCAAGTTTCTTGGTGAAATGAATTTTTTTCAATTATATGTGCCCAAGCACCATTGCTATGTATGCACTAGATCGAGGCAAACCACCCAAAGGCGTTCTTTGGCCTGTATTGAATTGTTTAGGGGGTAATGAAACAGGAAAAAAAACAATGGATTATTTGAACCACCAAGTTTCTTAAAATGAAAAAATTTCAATTATCTTAGTGAATTGAAATTCTTTCAGTTTTTTAGGCTCATAAGACCAACGCTCTAACCAACTGAGCTACGGGAGCTTCCCGATTTGATTAAATTTTCTATTTAATTATTCCTAAACTTCTAACCTTCTGCCCTATACGTTCTGTAAACCTAACCTCGGCAGCAACTAATTGGTTTCTGTCGACTCGAAGAACTCAGAATGATAGAATCAGTAGCATCAACTCGGTGCTGAACTGAACACAATCAAGTGTGAACAAGGCATTCTATTTGCTATGGTACTCATAAATATCAAGGTCAACAACATGGAGGACTACAAGTGGTAGCTTATTTATGTACATAAACAATCTCCTAATGTTTTCACTCGTCAATGCATCCATGTCTACAACATCACGATCATCTGTGTACACCCACAGACTGGTCGGCTTCACCTTTTGGAGACAGGCGCGGCAAAAGGGGCACGACTTTGATTTAGCATTCCTGCGAGGAGAGTGAACCTTGTTATCGTCGTCATCAAATCGTATTAAGGGGTCCCGCAAATTGGAACAGAGTGAAGAATGTGACAAGTTAGGCATGAAGAGCATGGATGGAATTGTTTTGCTCGATGACTAACAAACACAATATGAAATCCAAGAAGTGTTAAATAATGACATCAAGAAAGTGAAGCAAATCTCCTGAGGCAATTAAAGCATTGAGCTGAACATCAAAAATTTACTGACAGAACCTGACGAACATATGAGCAGGCTTTGTGTATGTAAATGTTTCTCATAATTAAAGTAAATCTTGGGGCTCTGTTTGGCATAATCTGCATGCATGCAACTGATTGTTGAACTTCCTAAAAAGAAAAGTGATTGTTGAACTACAAAAGTTTACCCTTTTTTATGAGCGTTATGAAATGCATAAAAAAAATAGATTGTGTTTTGGTAATGGAAACAGATTGTTGAACTATAAATAATACCATCACACTAAAGCTCGGGAAACAGGTTGTTAGTTAGATCAGTAGGATAAGGCGTAGATGACCAGATGAACTACTTGACTACATATAAGCTATAAAAAAAAATTGCGCAAATGATTGAAGCAATGACTTTTGCAGGCAATCGAATGAGGGAGACCGAGTGAATTTCATACCATTCTTCGAAGCACCTCAAGCACAAAGAGTGCGTACAGTCGGGCAGCACGATTTTAGCGTTCACCTCCAGACAAATCCCACACTCGACCTCCCTCTCCAAATCCAGCTGAGAGAAATCGCCATCCCTTCTCTTGAACTTGTCCACGCACAGTTTCCTTTGCTTCCTGTCGTCCAATTCAGTGATCCCGCTTGGCAGCTGAAGCAACGACGGGAATATAACACCTGCCGCGACGCAAATAATATGGATGAACATGTGGAATATTCCATGTCTTTTTTTTCTATCTATCTAGGAAAACAGCAGGACTCTGCTGCTTCCATGGTTTTGCTTGGATTGAGAGGTAATAACTATTAAAAAGGTACCGTAGAATTCTCTGATGCTGGCCTCCCTCTCCCAACTTGGCAAGGTCGTCGTGCCATCCTCCGCGTACACCTGCGTTACCAGAAATTTATCAAAATTCAGCCAGCAACCAGATGCGAAGAACTAATCGGACAGAGCAAAACGCTGAAATTGCAGAAGGGCTGCGAGGAAATTCAGTCAGCACCTTGTAAATCATAATCTTGAGGAGGCCGAGCGCGCTGGCGAGTCTACAGTCGGTCCACTGGACGAGGACATGCGCGACGGCGCTGTAGGCCATCCGCATCTGGATGACCGACCCGTCGTAGTCCCTCAGGAACTCCGACGCCCTGCGCATAAAAGAGCAGAGGACGCAGCCAAATTAATCAGCGAGGCACATCAACGACGAAAAGCGCACGCAAAATCTGGGAAATTGAGGAGGGTCGTTGCACTCACAGCGCATTGGCGTGCTCGATGTCGGCCTCGAGGGCCTTGACGGACTCCTGGAACCTCCGCATCGATGAGGCTGATCGATCGACCGCCGGCGAGAACCCTAGCTAAACCTCCTCCTCCTCCCGGCCGCTCCGCTCTGGTCTGGTCTACTCGGGTGGTGATCGGATTGGACTGGATTGTGCTCCGCTGCCTCCCCCTTAAGCTGCGGGCTTGGATTGCTTTCCCACCACTTTTGCTGCGCTCTTTGCTGAGTCCAACTCTAATCCGAGCCGTACTCCTCCTTTTGTTGCCACTCTCGAGGGGTTGGGGAGGCGACGAGGAACAGTGAACGGGGCCCGCGTGGCAGTCCTTTGCGCGATCCAGTGGAACATTAACATCCCTCGTTCACGCGCCAAAAGGGCACGCGGTTTACTCTTCCTCGCTGACAGGTTTGTCCGCTCGTGGGTGGGACCTTCTTGGCATTGAAAGTAGCTAATCGCGTGGGTACATTACTGGTGGAACGAGGCGGAGTTGAGTTTCCTGCCGAGCCAGGGCCCACGGAGAAATATCCGGAAGCAACGTCCACCAACGGGCGCTGCGCCCCGGTGTGCGTCACGCACCAGCTGGCTAACACGTTCGCTGACAGGTGGGTCCAGCAGAAGCCTAGGCCGACATGGCAGTATCGGCCATCGGATGTTTCTTTTTTCAAGGCGGACCGGATGAGGGGCAGTGGATTTGTGGGTCCCGTAGGAGCGGAAGGAGGAAATCCGGGGGCTCCCTTGGTTTTGCTTTGTTTGGGATGCCGGGTGCGGCTCAAGGTGGGGCCGTGGAAACCTTATCTAGGTAGGTTGATGCACTTGACCCCGACCCCGGGCAAAGAACGGTAGGTGGTTCGGTCAAGCACTCAAGGTTGTGGTTATCTCGGGACATGCCTTGGCGAATGGTGATTGGGGAGTAATCCAATGGCTCTTTCTTGGACCAGGGGGCAAATGTTTTATCCGTTTTTGTTTACTCCGCATATTACATTTGGTCAAAGTCAAGCTTTGTAAACTTTGACGAAATTTATAGACAAAAATATTAACATGTACAATCACAAAACAATATCATTAGATTCACTATTGAATGTATTTTTGCATCATATAGATTTGTTATCGTAAATATTTATATTCTTTTTTATAAACTTGGTCAAAGTTTACGAAGTTTGATTTCAGTCAACTCTAATATGCAGAGTAAATAAAAACGAAAGAAGTACTAGTTTAGTATCATGCCTTAATTTCAATTTGCTTATCACATCTACCGTGTGGTACAGATGTTTATAGGAGTACTTCCTCTGTTTCTTTAACAACCTTTGTAAACAATTATCATACGTTTATTTACACAGAGAGCACTTTGCATACAAGATTTGTTTTAAGTCAGAAGATGTATAACCATGTTTATATTAAAACTATCGATATCCGCAATACTAAAGATATATATAGTATAAAAGGCATTTCCACGATGCATTTAATGATATTGATTTGATATATTGTGAACGTTGATGTTTTTCTTATGATCTTGGTCAAACTTGTTGAAATTTGACTTATGACAAAATTTATATTCCGGATAAAAAGAAATAGAGACAGTACTCCAACCTGCATGGTTCATGAATCTATTTGATCAAGCGTGATAAGTTAGCAAAGATGGCGTCGACGATGTTGTGTCATATAATGGATGCTAATGCTGGGGAAGCGTACCCTCTTTGGTGTCTTTGGAACGAGCGATCGTTCGCTTTGGGAGGCTCACGCAAGCAGACGATGTCGCTCGCTCTAGGAGGCTCCCGCAAACAACATTTAAAAAAAATCATGCTACAACCGAAAGATTTGTCATATTAAAAGAAAATATTGTGGTGCTATAGTGAAAATATTATCACGCGTTTCAGGGATTTGTCATGCTGCAAATTGAAAAAAATGTGAGGCTAAGAGAAGGGGAAGCTGCCCACATGTTCAGAACTCATCATGTTGCAACAGATGAGAATTTTCGTGTTAGCACAAGAGGATTGCCATTGTTACATCGAAAAAATTGTTATCAACAGAGCAAGTAGACATACATGTTCAGAAATTGTCATGCTACGGTAGGACAAATTGCCAATGCTAAAAAGAGAAGTTGTCATACATGCTTTCAGTAATTGTCATGACGTTTAAAGGTTTCTCTGAAGTGTAAAACCACCATACCTGACCCACAAACCGAGGAGGAGGATGAAGCGGATGCCAAATATGATGGTCCGCTTATATCCCACTTGGTTGGTGGGGTTACTGGGGTTGGATTGGATGATGCAAGACCCGAGTCCATGTTTTGTGACTTCACACATTTTCATGGAAATCTAAATGGCACTTCTCTAAAAAGAAATAAAATTTGCACAAGAAGGCGAAGAGTTCAACACAAACCCGAGTTCCCGCATGAGAGGCATGTTTTGGAATAGCATATGTCTCTCGGACTTGGCTAAACACAAACACATCAGTGATTGTGTGCGGGAACATAGTTCGGATTTTGTGGCAATTTCCGAGGCTAGCAAGTGTGACTTTCGCCTGGATGTCCTCGATCACCTATCAGGTGGTTTCGACTACACATGGCATAGTCTACCAGCTCGTGGAGGATCTAGAGGAATCCTTCTTGGGATAATGATAACAACCATGGACTTGTTGGCTTTTTTGATTGGTGAATTTCATATAAAATTTCACCTACGGATAGAGCTGATAATTTCACATGGACTCTCGTCGTTGTCTATGGGGTTGCCCAAGATGAGCATAAATCTGCTTTCCTTCGGGAATTGGTAAACCTGGCTAAGAATAGCTCGTACCCGATGCTTATTTGAGGGGACTTTAATATTCTTAGGTACCAGGAAGAGAAAAATAATGACCGCTTCAACACGCATGGCCTTTCCTATTCAATACTGTGATGGACAATTTGGATCTTCGGGAGGCCACTATGTCGGGGCGTCAGTTCACTTGGGTGAACAACCGATTTGTGCTGACATACGAGAAGCTCAATAGGGTACTAATGGATACCGAATGGGAACTAAAATTTCCTGTAGTAACCGTACGACCCCTAGAGCGTATCGAGGCCTTATCGGATCATGCACCCATCATTTTGGATTCTAACTCTACGAACCCAGCCACCAGGCACCCTTTCAAATTTGAATTTGGATGGCTGCATAGGGACGGATTCGTAGACATAATCAAAAATGTTTGGGAGAGGCCCACCATTGGTCGTACACCTATTCAACGATGGATCTTTAAAATAAGAGCCATGAGGCGACACCTCTCTGGATGGGAAAAACACACCAATGAATTTATAAAAAGAAAAGCAAAGGATATGTATCATCATTGAGGACCTGGACAAAATTGCAGAGACATGCACATTATCTCAGCAAGAGATTGAATTGAAAAATCAATCTAATGAGATGGTTGTCCATCTACTACAAGAAGAGGAGATCAAATACTGCCAGAGATCCAAAGCTGATTTCATTTTGATGGGTGGTGGTAAGACAAGATACTTCCAATTGGTCGCCAATGGGTGGCATAGGAAGAAACGTATTTACAGTCTCCAACAAGATGAGGGGCGGATCGAAGGTCAGGAGGAGCTCAAAAATTATATCACAAAATGCTAAAAAGTCTCTTTTCCGAGCGCCGACTGAAGGGAATTTCACCCTTGACGGGACCCGAATATATGATATTCTACATGTCACAGCAGAAGAAAACGATATCCTCACGACACCATTCTCAGAAGAGGAGGTGCGAGCTGTGTTTTTCCAAATGGAACATAACAAAGCTCTAGGCCATGATGGTTTCCCCACAAAATTCTATCAGAATTTCTGGGATATAATCAAGTCTAACCATTTGGAGTTGTTCAATTGTCTTCATGTCGACCGACTTGACCTATTCAAACTTAATTTTGCGAGATTGTCTTGTTGCCGAAGATTAAGGAGGCCGAACGGATTCAACAGTTCATACCCATATGCCTCATTAATGTCAGCTTCTAGATTTTTACCAAAGTGGCGACAAATAGATTAAACTCGGTACCTGATACATCCATTTTGCATCATGTTTTCCTACTGCTATTTATAGTATTTTCAATAAATATAATACTTTGTGAAGCAATTCTAATGCCTTTTCTCTCATAATATGCAAGGTTTACATGAAAAGGGAGATACCAGCAGCTGGAATTCTGGACATTTAAAAGCTACGTCAGAGATAGCTATTCTGCACACCTCCAAATGAGCTAAAATTTTACAAAGGTTTATTTTGGAATATATGAAAATTACTGGATAAAAGAAGTACCAGAGTGGGCCACCCAGGTGCCCACTAGGCACCAGGGCGAGCCTACCACCGCTGGCGTGCCCTGGTGGTTTTTCTAGGGCAAATGGGCTTATATACCAAAAGATGGGAACCGGAGGGTGGCCAAGTAGTGGGGGGCCTGGCCACCCTCCGGTGCCCATCTTCTGGTATATAAGCCCATTTCCCTAGAAAAAATAAGAGGAGGACTTTCGAGATGGAGCGCCACCATATCGAGGCGGAACTTGGGTAGGAGCACTTTTGCTCTCTGGCGGAGAGATTCCGCCCGGGATACTTCCCTTCGGGAGGGGGAAATCAAAGTCGTCATCATCGCCAACAACCCTCTCATCATGGGAGGGCCAATCTTCATCAACATCTTCAACAACACCATCTCATCTCAAACCCTAGTTCATCTCTTGTATTCAATCTTTGTATCAAAACCTCAGATTGGTACCTGTGGGTTGCTAGTAGTGTTGATTACATCTTGCAGTTGATGCTAGTTGATTTATTTGGTGGAAGATCATATGTTCAGATCTATCATGCTATTCAATACCCCTCTGATCTTGAGCATGAATATGTTTTGTGAGTAGTTGCTTTTGTTCTTGAGGACATGGGAGAAGTCTTGTCATAAGTAATCATGTGAATTTGGTATTCGATCGATATTTTGATGGTATGTATGTTGTTGATTCCCTTAGTGGTGTTATGTGAATGTCGGCTACATGACACTTCACCATATTTATGCCTAAGGGAATGCATTGTGGAGTAGTTATCAGATG